GGGGAGGGGCTGGCAATCCACCATCAAGATTCTTGCCAACCCTGTATGACTTCTGCCCTGTGGGACTTTCCTATCCACTGGAATAGACACTTTCTTGGATTTAGGCCTCCTCTACCCCTTAGCTCTTTCAATTCCTCAATTCAAGAGCCCTGTGGAAGTCACTCGCCTACCCAGCCCCAGCCTCAGCCCCAGCGGCAGCGACAGGAAAGGTGGTGGTGGTTGGTGAAGAGGAGGTGTTCACGGGGTCCCACACTCTCAGAGCCCACCTCCCCTTGGCCTGGCCCCCGGCCCTCCTGTCACCCTGCCCACTCCCCTGCAGGCCATTGCACTCCAAAGCCGAGCAGCACCTCATGTGTGAGGAGCATGAAGAGGAGAAGATCAACATCTACTGCCTAAGCTGTGAAGTGCCCACCTGCTCTCTCTGCAAGGTCTTTGGTGCCCACAAGGACTGTGAGGTGGCCCCACTGCCTACCATTTATAAACGCCAGAAGGTATCAAGTAGTGAAGGGAGCAAGCATGTGGAGCTGGGGACATAGGACTGGGTCTCAAACCTTAGCCTCTTACTCCACTTGGTTGTAAGGAGAGGCATATCAGGGTTAAAGTCCCAGGAATATGTGTAACTTGAAGTGTGACCTTAGGCCCTAATTTTCCTCACTTATAAAATGGGAGAGAAAATGCTTACTTCTAAGAGGTGTATTGAGGATGCAAGCAGAGACTTCAGTCTGATGGACTAGACTCTCTCAAGACCCTCTCACTAGCACGCAACTACATTCTACATAAAACATAATTGTAACATAGGAAGTAAAGACGATCTCCAAGTGGGGGTGGGGTGGAGAGGCAGAGAGGGGGAAGGAGCTGAGAAGAGAACACTGAGGGCTAAGCCCAGAAAAGGCAGCATCTCCCAGAGGGCAAATGCTGCCAGCACTACTGAGCTGGAGAGATGAGACTGTGCCTCCAAACCTCTAAACCAGGTGGGGGACCTGAATCAAAGACCCCCACGAATCCCAGGTTAAACTGGAATCTCAGGAAAGAAAGCAGTCAGTTGTACCATCTGGATTTTGACAAAAGCAAATGCAAATTCTGCGTGGTGGAAAAAAATCCTCAGTTTAGGCCCTTGGGTTTTCATTAGATTAAGAACAAAAAAACATTTGTTCATAAGTGAAAAAATGTACTAGTGAACAGGAAGAAGGGATTAAAAAATAGCATAAAGTATACCATTTGACCCAGGAATTCCACTTATAGGAATTTACCCTAAGAATGCAGCAGCCCAGTTTGAAAAAGACAGATGCACCCCTATGTTTATCACAGCACTATTTACAATAGCCAAGAAATGGAAGCAACCTAAGTGTCCATCAGTAAATGAATGGACAAAGAAGATGTGGTACATATACACAATGGAATATTATTCAGCCATAAGAAGAAAACAAATCCTACCATTTGCAACAACATGGATGGAGCTAGAGGGTATTATGCTCAGTGAAATAAGCCAGGCAGAGAAAGACAAGTATCAAATGATTTCACTCATATGTGGAGTATAAGAACAAAGAAAAACTGAAGGAACAAAACAGCAGCAGAATCACAGAACCCAAGAATGGACTAACAGTTACCAAAGGGAAAGAGACTGGGGAGGATGGGAGGGAAGGGAGGGATAAGGGCGGGGAAAAAGAAAGGGGGAATTATGATTAGCATGTATAATATGCGGGGGCATGGGGAGGGCTGTGCAACACAGAGAAGACAAGTAGTGATTCTACAGCATCTTACTACGCTGATGGACAGTGACTGTAATGGGGTGTGGGGGGGGACTTGGTGAAGGGGGGAGCCTAGTAAACATAATGTTCTTCATGTAATTGTGGCTTAATGATAACAAAAAAAATAGTGTAAAGTGCAGCACTGGGAGGTGAGAAGGTCAACATATATCTAATCATAGTCACAGAATGAAAAAAAAGGGAGTGGAAAAGAGGCAGTATTATCCTAACAGATAACCACAAAGAACTTTTCAGAATTGATGGAAGACATGAATCTAAAGATAAAGTATCTATCTTTATATAGTATATAATGTTATATAATATATATGTAAATCTAGACTTTATATATAATATGCTAGTGCCTGGCATTTGGTGGATATCTGGCAAATGTCTGTTCCTTTATCATTCAGTGGTAGAGGGCTTCTTTTCTACACCTCCTTCCAGAGTCCATTGCATGTGCTTCCACACTTCTTAGGTGGTCCCAAGCCTTCTAGATCCCTGGAATAGCTTCCCTGAAGATGCCCTGATGGTGGGGTGGAGGGGACTGCTCTCTTCTAGGCAGCCCTAGACTGGGATGGCAGGGGGGCAGCTCTAGACCAGGTCCCCCAGCCCTAAGTGCCATCCTGTGTATGTGGCAGAGTGAGCTCAGTGATGGCATCGCAATGCTGGTAGCAGGCAATGACCGTGTACAAGCAGTGATCACACAGATGGAGGAGGTGTGCCAGACCATTGAGGTGAGCCTGGGATGGGAAGCAGGGAAGTCTGTGGGCTCCTGGAGGTGGGTCACAAATAGTGGGATGTGCTTAGCCAGGCTGCCAGGGTTTGAATCCCATCTGTGCCCATCAGAAGCTCTGCAATTTTGGTCTAGTTACTTAACTTCTCTGTGCTTTGGTTTTGTTTTTAATTACATAAAATAGTGACAATGAGAATGATACGGTGGCTCCCTCACTGGATCTTTTTGAAAATTAAATGAGATAATATATGTAAAAACAAGGGCCAGAAATATAGACAGCACTCATAAAGCCACTTAAAAATATCATGTTATTGCTGAGAGAGTAGACCTCACAAATTCTCATCACAAGAAAAAAGTTTGTAACTATCTGTGGTGACAGATGTTAACCAGATTTACTGTGGTCATTTCACAATATATACAAACACTGAATCAATACATTGTACACCTGAAACTAATATAATGTATGTCAGGTTATTATTATTGTTACTGTTATTATTATTATTACTGTTATTATTATTGAATTATTGAATTATTATTATTATTATTACTGAAAAGATCTGGTAATCAGCAGCCCTCTGCTGGAGTTCTGGCTCTGCCACTAATTTGTGGTGTAACTGACAGGTCACTTTCTTCCTTGGCTCTTAGTAACTTAAAGTTAATGGGGAGTGGGACAAGTGGTTGGGTGCTGTCTGAGCTACGAGGTTTCATCCTTTCGCCCCCTTTTTCAGGACAACAGCCGGAGGCAGAAGCAGCTGCTAAACCAGAAGTTTGAGGCCTTGTGCGCAGTGCTGGAAGAGCGTAAGCGTGAACTGCTACAGGCACTGGCCCGGGAGCAGGAGGAGAAGCTGCAGCGTGTCAGGGGCCTCATCCGTCAGTATGGAGACCACCTGGAGGCCTCCTCTAAGCTCGTGGAGTCGGCCATACAGTCCATGGAAGAGCCGCAGATGGCCCTCTACCTCCAGGTGGGCCCTGGGAGAGGGTGACAGGGTGTGTAGTGGCTGGAGTGGGGGCTCTAGAGAGCTAGGTTTAAGTCTTATCTCTGGCACCTACTTGCCCCACAGCCTTGGGCAAGCCACTCCTTCTGAGTCCCTTTTCTCCTTGCCCAACTTCAATATGCATCACCGCCTACCTGGCAGGACTGGCCTGGGCATCAGAAATGGGACTTTGCCAGAGGTTGGCACAATCCTTACTTCTCACCCTCCTTTCTTCCCTGCAGCAGGCCAAGGAGCTGATCAATAAGTGAGTAGGTGGAACGGGAATGGAAAGGAAGGGGCGGCCGGGGCTCCACTGCCGTGGGGAGGGGGTTGAGAATGCTGGGGCGCTTCCAGCTGAGCGGCTGCCGCGGTTGCAGGGTCGGGACAATGTCGAAAGTGGAACTGGCCGGACGGCCAGAACCAGGCTATGAAAGCATGGAGCAGTTTGCCGTGAGCGTGGAGCACGTGGCCGACATGCTGAGGACCATCAACTTCCAGTCGGGTGAGGGAGGTGGGATGGGAGGGGGCGGCGGACCGCCGGGAACTGGGCGTGCAGCCTCTCCGGGTGGGGACGCGGTGGGAAATGACGGCCAGAAAAACAGGGACTCCTCCTCACGGGGCCTTCCTTCGGCCCAGGCGCCGCCGGGGAGGAAGAGGATGAGGAGGTAGCACTGGACGGGGAGGAGGGCAGCGCAGGGCCAGCGGAAGAGCGGACGGACGGACCCGAAGGTGAGAGTGGCCTGAAAGGCCCGGCTAGTACGCTCCGGTCACCTGCCTCGGTGATTGTCTTGCCTGCTGCACTGAGGATGCTGGCAGCCGCACTCCGTTGAAGTGCCTCCCAACCTCCCAGCAGGAGGGGGAGCGCCCCCTAGCGCGCATGTAAAAGTACACCTTCCCACCAGGCATTCCTCCGGGGCTTTAGAACAGCAAGCTAGGTGCGGAAGTAGAGGAGAAACTCACGTGGCTAGGGAAAGGGGTTCGGGGAGTTCGGAGTTGCCTTGTTCCTTTGGAGCGCCAGCCTATGGAGCTTTCTCTCCCAGGCACAGGCCTGCACTGACGCCCCCTGTTGGGGAGACCGCACCCCTGGAATTGGCTCTCGGATGGCAAAGGATCTGCGCAGAGACCATCGCGCCGTCCAGCTCGGCGCCCCACCGCAGGGGAGACTAGGGCTCAATAAAGGGCTACTGCGTCCCGACCCGCAGCTCCTTTTCACTGCTCACTCCCTCAGCCCGGGCTTCGGAGGCGGCCCCTCACCACCCTGCCCTTCTCCGATCTGGGACCATTTTAGGGGGCGGAAGTGGAATGAACTCCTTTTGGGCACCTCCTAGATATCAGGCACGGATACGCACACCCGTGCCAAGGAAGAGGATCGGGGCAGGATGCGGTGGCACCCGGACTTCAGTGTCTGGGGGACATAGGACCCTGGCTGAAAGCCGTTCTTCCGAAGCCCTCCTGCAGCATCTGGTTCCCTCCAGCCTGGGAGGCCCCACTTTCCCACGAGCTCCCACCCTGCTGTGGTTCCCCGCACCCCCACAACAGAGGCCAAAAGGCTCTTCAGCACTTTTATTAAAAACTAGTAACGCAGAGACCGGTCAGGGTATCCCTGGGACTCTCTAGCCCCGGGACTGGGTCAGTTCCACTCGCGCACGTCCCGCCCCAGGGGTAGGGGATGCGGGTCGAGGTTTTCGTGCCGCAGACCCCGCGGATCACTTGCCCACTGAGTCGAATATGATACGGTTCTGCTCGGCGCGCTCCCGTTGGCTCTGCGTCCGCGCCAGCTCCAACAGGGTCCGCAGCAGGTGGAAGGTGAGGTCTATGGACAGCGGGGGGTCGTCCCGTCGCGGCCGCTCGCCAGCAGTCCGGGCTCCCCATCGGTCGAGCCCCGCGCGGTGCGGGAAGCGCTCTGCCAGCAGCAAGAGGAGCGCGCGGGCGCCGCCTCCCTGGTTCCTCACCCCGGGACTCCAGCGCAGACTCGGGTCCTGCACCCGGGCCGCCGCCGCCCCCGGGCTCCACTGGCTGCTCCCCGGGCGCAGCGCCGCCAGGAGCAGCAGCGCCATCAGCAGCGCCTGCTTCATGGTGCCACCGGCCCTGGACACATACAGGAGTCGCAGGTGGCGCCACTCCCTGCGCACACCCAGCCTCCCCGCCGGACCCCTGTGGCTGCCGCCCGGTGCCCACACCTTCCCCTCCAGCCGCAGCCATACCCAGTCTTGTGCCACCCTTTTCTCCTTCCCTCCCTCCCTCATGGCGGGTCGCAGTGGGTAAGCTGAGCGCAGAGCCCAGAGCCCAGGCGGTGCTGGCATATGGGAGGATGCTCACAGCCACTCACAGGGTGCCGGAGAGCGCCTGCAAGGTGCAGGATGGAGCTCTAGTCTCTGTCCCTCGGGGCGTGCTGAGGGCGCCTTGGGGAACACGGGGTCTGTCCCGGGACCGCCGCCAGCCTTATATAGCTCCGGGACAGCTCCGACTGACGTCAGCGAGGAACATGCACTGATTGTAGAAGCAATGACAGCTTCGCATCCCGCCAGTTGCAAGACCCCAAGGAGCATGCCTTAGGACTCTAGGCTAGGCTTTGCCTCTCCCGAGGTAGGCTGGAAGTAGCACCAGAGTCAGACTCGAGAGCGAGGAGAGAGCAAGAACCTGGCTGGGGTGTGAAGACTGAACTGGGGGCCACCAGAGTCCTTTGCCTGCTTGGAACAGCCAGCAGTGACTAGGGCCGGTCCCTAGACCAGACTAGTCTGAGTGACCAATCTTTTCCAGCACGGGAAAGGGAGCTGAAGCATGGGGCTGTCCATGGCAGTGACCCTGTCCTATGCCTCTAGAAGGGGCAGAAGCACTAGAAAAATGCTCTGCTGCTCAGACCCAGTCCCTGGCCCCAGCTATCCATTCCACAAACTAAGGCAATGAAGGCATCAGCTACCACTGTGGAACCCACCCAGAGGCAGTGGAGGCAGCCCAGATGGGCCCGGGTTCATCTTCCAGCCCCATAATCTAAATTCAGGGCACCCTAAGAACTAGGGCCTCTGGCCTCAGGGTGCTTTCAGACCACAAAAGGCTGGTTCATCTGCTTCTACATTTGCCCCAAACTGGTATTTTAGCCAAATTAACTTTTCTCCTGGGAACCACAGAAGCAGTACCTTTGACCTCCAGATGAAGATCACCGGGTAGTAAGGAAACTTGGTGTCTTAGTCTGTTAGAGCTGCTACAACAAATACACCATAAACTGGGTGGCTTATAAACAAACATTTATCAGTTCTAGAGGCTGGAAAGTCCAAGATGATGGCACCTGTAGATTTGGTATCTAGTGAGACAACCCCTTCCCTCTGCCCTCTAACTTTCATAGTTGGCACCTTTGCACTATGCCCTCACCTGGTGGATGGGGTGAGGGATCTCTCTGGCACCTCTTTTACAAAGGTACCAATCCCACAAGGGCTCTGCCTTCATGACCCAATCATCTCCCAAAGTCCCCACTTCCTAATGCCATCACCTTAGGCATTACATTTTCAACATATGAACTGAGAGGATGGGGTATCTCACCAGAGAGCAACATTTAATCTATAGCACTTGGGCTCAGGTTTCTACTCTGCCACTCCCTGTGGTGTGGACAGTCACCTCACCTCTGTGGACATCAGTCTTCTGTAAAAGGTTTGGCTTGGTGGTCTCTAGACTTTCCAGCTCTAGACATTTTGACTTCCCACTAAATTTCCGCTGGGTCTTAATTCTTTGTCTCTGCAGGTTCCAGATTACGTATTTAGTAATATACTTACAGAGGCACCATATTAAGGGTTTGAGGGGGTCGTTAAAGAGCTGGGGCTACATGAGGGTTTCCTGGTTAGAGAAAGAGCTGTTTCTGTGAAGAATGGGGATGAGTGGCACTGGCCAGGACACAGGTGTAAACCAAAGGTGACAAGATCATATGGTTCAACAAATATTTATGGGGTGCCTACTATGTGGTGGGCATAAGACCATTATAAAGGGTTTAATGATTTCAAAAAGAGGTTATAGTTCAGCATGACATGGGCAGTTTCATGGAGCTAACCCCATTATGTTCTGACCAGCAAGCAAGCCCCGTGAAAACTGATGTGCCCACTCAGGAGGTTGCTTCACTCCAGGGTCACTCTGCATCACTGCAAGATGAAAACTATGGAGTGAGGCAGGCTCAGAGCCGATGTGCCTTCCAGGACAGGTAGGAGTTCCAGATGACAGCGACACACTGGACAACAGCCAACCTAAGGGATAGGAGTGGCATCGTGAAGCAGAGGATGATGAAGGAGCAAGCCAGAGGGCAGAGGTGGGAAAATGCAGCAGAGAAGGATTATCTCTGAGGATGTCCAGATTCAGGGCTCCTTCCTTCAGCCCCCAAAGGAGGGCTTTGGGGCTTGACCAGAGGACAACCAGCTCAGGTTCTGGTGCTGTCCCACAGCTCTGTCTCAGGCACAAGAGCCTCAAAGTTAAATACCCACATCTTGCCACACACAGCTGTGTTATTCACCCCATCCAGGCTCCTTCTAAATACACCCGTCCTTCATGTACCAGCTGAGGGGATTTCATCTTCCACAAAATGTACTTCCTGCCCTATAAAGTAGCACCTCTTTATTTGAAATTTACCTTGCTCTAGTTTCAAAAAGTGTTGCAAGGGCCCTAATGTTTAGGATTTGGTTCATAAGTCTATATTCGTTTTTAGCTACGCTATTCATGTAAATTTTGCCTGTGTTGCCTCTGAAGAGTTTCCTATTCTTCCCTGTTCCCAAAGCCCTCTCACCTCCAACAATTTAACTACTCATCTGGAGTCCCACTACATTTTCCATTGTGGTTTCAGCAACCATCTTTATTATTGCAGGTAAAACACTACTTTGTAGTGTATTAACCAGGTTCCTAGTTGGCTCTGTGCTCCACCTTTCTGTCCAACTGAGGCTGTGCACCCCAGGCTGTGCCCTGCAGACACACCATCAAAGGTGAGAGTTCAGGTGGGGTGGGGACAGGGTTGTAGGGCAGGATCCTCCCTAGCAAGATGCCCACAAAGATCAGTATGCAGATGCTCTGAAACAGATTCTGTAATGGATAAGAGATTATGAATAAAACACTCAAGAGTCTGAGCAGCTCTCATGAGCGCAGAGTTCTGGGGGGTCTAAAGTAACTCAAGATTGAAATGACAATCATTTTGTCGCCAATAATTCATAATGTGTATCTTCCTTGAAGGGTGGGGTGGGGATCTGTCATACCTGTAATGAAGGGGGACCAGGTAGAAGTTGGCTAACTGCACAGCAGGCCAGAGCTACAAAAGACAGAAGGTAAAGGGTGGGAGGCTGCCCCCATGACCTGACCCAAGACTCACTGCCTCGCCTGGTTTTACACCAACTTCTGTCCAACAGGATGAGTGCTTCCCTGAGTATGGTGCCCACTTGGGGAATGAGACTATTCCCAACTGAGGGGTTTCTATGTCAGGAGGACTCCTGATCCCTGGGCCCTCTGCATTCAAGAAAGCAGGAGAACAGGCAGTGAGGTGTCAGCTCTTACATAGTAGTTGGTGATGAGCGCATCAGGATAATCCTGAGGAGACAGAGAAGGCACAAATTCACACCTGCACTCCCGACCTCCCCATCTGCATTCTCTCTCTCTCTCTCTCTCTCTCTCTCTTTCTCTCTCTCTCTCACACACACACACACACACACACACACACACACATGCCCACATCACACCCACCTCAGCTCTTCTTCTCTAGAGCCTGGGGCCCTACCCGCACTGCCACATTTCTCATCCCCATTCCTTGGGGACTGCCAGCCTGCCAGCCAGAGATCATGCCCACACCTGCCCAGCTCACCCGCTGTAGCTTGGCCCAATTGTCCTGGACTGACAGTCCATTGAGTGTGCCTACCAGTGGGAGGAAAGAGCCTAGAAAACATGGGGCAAAGCCCCCCTGGGGAAGAAAAGGAAAGCTCTGTGAGTACCTAAGCCCCACACTTCCCCAGCACAGCTCACTCTTCAGGACTCCCTTTTCCTTCTGCTCACCTGATCCAACAACATCTTCTTTAGTGCATCGACCTTGGCAGTGCCAGGGATGAGCCGATCCAAAACCTTGTACCAGCCACCTACTACAGGGCCCTGAAAGCAAACCCAAGAGAGGAGAGAAGGGGTCAAGTGAAGGGGATACTTGGCTTTTTTTTTTTTATCTCAAAGCTCCTCCCTGAATATGAGAAGCCAGATCCCAGGAGAGGCAGACACTTAAGGTTGGCTTAGTTGTAAGAGAGGCTAAGGGAAACTAAAGAATGACACGGAACTAAGGCCACGGTACCCTCCCCTGGCAGCCCTGCTGGGGGCGGAACTCACCACAAAGCCACAGCCCAGAGAGGCCATGGTCAGGGTCCTGCCGGCCTGGTGTTCCCGCAGACCTCGCCTCTCCACCAGCTGCTGCGAGATAATGTCTCCCAGGCCCATCAGGGACCCTGTGCAGGGTACACAGGCATTGTCAGCACACCTCCTGGGGATGGGCTGCCAATCCAAGGAGGGAGGTACATTCCCAAATGAGGCTCTGACACTCTGAGCCCAAGGGACTAATTCTGGAGCAAATGACCAGTCCCTTCCTGCTGCTTCAAGTCTCTCCTCTCCCAAAGATGGTGACACCTCCTGTGTGTCCTGTTAGAAACTAGGATAAGTAGCTTTGAATAGGCCAGGGCCCATAAACTCTGCATTAATCAATAAAGGGAAGTCATAGAAACTGCAGACAGAGGGAGAAGAATCTAAGGTGCGAGGGGCTGAGAACCACGACTGTCAGAATTATTTCATCCAAATGATAATTATATATCCTATATATATATATATATATCCAGATAATTTTACATATATATATATGATAAGGATATTATTCTATCCTGCCAGATAATTCCATCCAAACCCCAGATTTTAGAGGTATGGAAATGAAGGTCAAGAACTTCACATAATCAGTAGGTAGCAAAGCCAAAGCAAGAACGAGGTGGCTTGATTTCCTAGACAATGTTCTTTCCCAGACACCACACAAAGATAGGTCATATGTAGGACGGTAAGCAATCCTGGGGTTTTCCCCCAGCTCAAGGCAAGACCTTGGCCAATGTCCTTCACCTCAGTCTTGGGGTCTCTATTTATGGAGAACAGTGAGAACAACTCTTTTTCTAAAACATGGGTGCTCAAATGGTCGTGGGCAGTTGAGGATGCAAGAGGCCCCATCAAGAAGAGTCCTGGTTACCTCTTAGCACAATCAGGTAAACCCAGACTGCCCTATGCCCAACCTCAGACTGAACTAGCAACAGATATAGCCATTTCTTCCCCAGGCCTTTGAATCTGCTTTCCCTCTCCTCACACACCAGCTCCAAACAGCCCAAGATACCAAGACAGAAATCATCACTGTTTACAGAGACCCCCCACCCCATCAGTTATGGTGGCGTGATGGTTTCTGGCAAACACACACATATAGGGCTGCTTCTGAGTGACCGTATGATCTCTAGCTCGCCTGTTCCTCTCACTGAGTAATGAGAGCCACACCCCCCAGCCCCACAGCCACCAGTGTCCCTGTGCCCTCAATTAGCACTGGGCAAACACATCCTTCAACCCTATTCCTTGGTCCAGAGCTGGCTCTGACGTCTGTGCTGGCTGCAAGCTCACTGCTCTTCCCCCACACCCTTTATACAGCCTTGCCCCTGGGCAGCCACGTCACAGACAGCGGGGCTGGGGGCTGGGGCTGGGGCTGGAGCTGGGGTACCTGGCTGCTTGGCACACCCAGCCATGGTGCAACTCTGGGACCTCCACACACACCCACCAGGGCAGGCCTGCCTCTCCTCTCCCTGAAACCCCCAAACTGGTGCTTTTTCCAGAACAGGGCTAGACATGACCTCCCAGAGGGCAGGGATAGAATCTTAGGTATCTCTGTTCTTTAACTCCCAAGTGCCTCACAGGTGCTCAGAAAACAAACCACCCCAAACAACAGGACTACTCTGCAAGAGGGAATGAAGAACTCTATAAACAGTCTACCCAAAGATGGCTCTCAGTGTGAGGACAGCAGAGCTGAAGGCTTGCTCCCCGCACAGTCAGCACTTATCCCCCTAACAACTTGGGGTTGCCTGCTGCACTCCCGGGGTGGGGAGCTGCTGTGGCCATGCAGAGAGGAAGGGGTGACCCCAGAAAGACCCAGAGAGGGTGGAACAGAAAGGCAGTACCTCTGAAATACGGGACTAACAGTTTGACACTCTACTTTGGCAAGATGTTTACAGTTTACAAAGGGCTCTCACACATTGAATCTTCACAAAAAGTCTCGGAGGCAGGGGTGATACCTCCAGTTAATGTCTGAGAGGTGAGGTTACTTGGTAAGGAGTGGAGCTAAGGCTGGAACCCAGGCCTCCTAAGGCTTTGACCTGAGCACAGAACAAGGCCTGCATTTCCAGCCAAAGTGACTGAGCAGGAAGGGATGATTTTCCTGTTCGTCATTCCCTGCCCCTGTCCCAGCCACAGAACCCATATAGACCCAAACCATCCCAGGCTCTGGGAGTCCTGGACATATTTGGTTGGTCTGGATCTTCCAGCACTCTGGCTCCCCTTTCCTTGGACTTGTTTCCAGGTGGCTGGAGCTGGAGGCCTGCAGAGACATAATGCCCAGGCCCTGTGGGGCAGAGCAAGGGGCTGCCAGGCAGTGATGCCCCATTGCCAGCTGGGCATGGAGCCCAGCGGGCAGATGATGGCGCAGGTGTGACATCATGCCCCTGGGTAGGTGCCAGTTCTCGTGACATCATTCGCCACTGAATTCAGCAGGGTGGGGTGAGGGAAGCTTCCCTCTGAGTGCAGATCTGTTTGGGACCACCCCTTTCCACTTCCATACCCTCTTCATAGGCATGGGTTGGGGTAAGCTCCCTGCTTTCCCGATTTTGTTCCTTTCCTGGCTTTTGAGTAGGAGTCTTAGATGTAAGAAAATGCAGTGCTAATGAATAAGGGGCAGGAAGCTGGAATGAGCAGGAAGCGTGTCCTTGAAGATAGGAGGCCTGGGCCATCAGGTTCAGCTACTGGCATGGGGCCAGTGGTGCTGTCAACTCATTCCTCCCCAGAAGTTTCCAATGAGTAAACAGCCACCTGATCTGGTAGAGTCCAGGGGAGCTGAAGCCTACCAGTGAAAGGGAAGAGTACATCCTCTGGGATCGGTCTGAATGCTGTCCCTATTGCTGGTGTGAACCTGTTGTACTACTGGAAAATGAGACACAATGGAAGGTTCTGCCGCTTGTCAGGTATCTAAACCCAGACCCGCTGGGCTACACTCAGCATCCTGAGGCCCAAGTGCAGGTCAGGGCATTGGGAAACGCCAGCTCTACCACTGACCATGTGAGACCTCAGTGCATGTCACACCCCTTCTTGCCTCAGTTTTCTTCTCTGTAGCATCCAGAGTTGAACTGAATGATTTCTAAATGCCTATGGAGCTCTTGCACCCTGCTTAATTCAGACTCCAGGGAAACCAGTGTCTGTAGAAGCTCAGCTGCTCCCACAGCAGGACCAGGGTGGCCTACGATGGATAGAACTGGGCACCTGGCCCACTGGAGACTGGAAGGGCCCTCAAGAAAGGACAGAGAAGGCTGACTCAAGATTCTGCAGAACACACAGCAGACCTTTGCCCAAGCTACCCTGTTCCTGACTCTGGCTTGGCCAAAACTGGGTGTACCAGACACTTGTGAACCACTTCAGGTCTTCCTGATTTTCTTATCTCTTACTCCAGCCCCTCCTGCAGCTCAGCCTGATGGATCCTTGCCTAAGGCCAATGTCATTCCTGGGGCTGGTGCTTTACCTGGGGAGGGACTGTGCATGTCAACCTACTTGTGCATGGGTGTTAACATCCCATGTGGCAAACCTTCAGCCAATGTGAAATGGGAGTTGGTGGTTGAAGTTTTCTCCAGAAAAGACTATTCACCCATATAGTCCTAAGGGGCATTTCAAAGGGCTTCCCCAGTCAGTTTTAAGTGATTGAGCAGCCATGTTCCCTAAGCAGTGTCCAATGTGACAATCCATCCTTACACTGGCTCTCCCTCTTCCCTCATGGAATTACTTCCTACTCCCTTACAAAGTGCCTGCACAGAAGCTTCAGGCTCTGCTTTTTGGAGAACCAAGGCTAAGATAGTTATTCATGTTCAGTTACAACAAACAGAACAGACCCAACCAACCCCAAACCTCAAAATGGGCCTGGGTTGCCAATACTCACAGGAAGGGCCAACCCCTTGGAGTCTTTAAGTCTACTGAGCCTTTTTTGATTCCTAAAGGCTTTTCACATGCGTCATGCATACCCTGACTCTGTGAGGTCATATAACTAAACTCAAATTCTAAATGAGAAACTGAGGCTCAAAGAGGCTTACTGACTTGTCCTGACTCACACAGCTACTAAGTGCCATGGCTCTGACACTCACATCTTGGTTTTCTAACTCCAAGTCTGAAATCTCTATCTGTTTTCCAGTGCAGTGAGCTATCCTGTGGGATCTTAGGAACTACTGTGCTGGGATCTAAGAACAGCTTGGTGGGATAAACCCACCTCCCTCCTTTTATTTGTAGTTTGACCCAAATTCACTGAGCAGCAGGGAAGGAAAAGTCTAAGAAAAGTGCTACCTAGCAGATGCTTTAGGGCTGAGCTGAGTGGTTGGCACAGTTTCAGAAGGACTGCGGGCGTGGCGCATGGGGCTCTAGCATTGACAGACTGGCATCCCAGTTCAGCCACGTATTTGCACTTGGGCCCTTTGGAAACCAGCTCCTGCCCTCATCAGCTGCAGATAGATACCCTGGGTAGGGAAACACAAGGATCATCCTTCCCTCCCTATTCTTGACAGCCACAAGGGGGAACCTTCCTTCCGGCAGTCAGGGTCCCTGAGGGAATCTGAGGCTGGGCAAAGGGCCCAGTGTGTCAGTTCTCATCACAGCCATACAGTCCAGCATGAATCACCACACACGCAGTCAGGTGAGTCATGCAGGCTGACAGACTCTGTGAGGACAGGATATGGGGTGGTGGGGCCCAGGAGGCTGGGAGGGCCCAGGGAGGAAAACAGTCTGTTCCTTGGCCAATCACCCAGTGAAGTTTCTAGTGCTGATACAGGGCTATTCCAGTAACAAGACTTGTTCCACCCTGGCTTTCAGTAGCCTTCCATCCTTTCCAACAGTCTTCCTCTCAGAAGCCCATGGTCCTCATTAGAATCCTGTTTCCTTCCTCTCTGTACAGGCAAGACCCCTCCTTCTCCTGATCACTCCTGCATTTTCCTGATAGTCAGAGACCTGCTAGTCTTTCCCCCTATAAAACTTATTTATCTCCCTGAAATCCCCTCCCATATTAGCTAATCTGAAAAATGGTAACAAATACAAGTAAGTCACTGGGCTACCTTTATGAGGTTGGATTAAATCACTGGATTTGGAGTAAAAATAAGTCTGATTAGTATATTGTTTGGGGACATGTACATAAATAGTAAAACTATAAGAAAAGCAAAAGAATGGCACAAACACAACTCAGGAAAGTGGTTACCTCTTGGGGTGCATGAATTAGGGCAAGCACTCAAGGCAATCTCAAAGCTGGATAATGATACACAAACATTCAGATTTAATTCTATACATACATGTCTTAAAAATTCTTTTGTAGGGTGATAGATACCAACACAACAAAAAGTACTAAGAAAATTAAACTGGGGTAGGAGTCCTGATTCAAGCTCTTATTAGGTGTGAGGACTCAAGCAATCCTAGCTCACAGACCTCTGGGGGGGCCCTATGGGATAATGTTTATTGAAAGTGTTTTTGCACAGTGTAAAATGTTAGAGGAGTGTTTGCTATTGTTAATTTTCTAAGTTGAGGCCTCCTGGGGCAATGCCTTTATCCTGAAGGGATGTCTCCTCAGCTTTTTGAGGACATTCAATTCCTACTTTACAGAGGGGCCAACTATGCATACCCCTTTCCTTAAGAACACTCTTGGGGACCCACCCTGCAAAACACACTGGGGACAGCGTGGAATGAGAGATAACCAAACCTTCAAAGGGGCTGAATAGAAGCCAAAAATGAGGGAGGTGTGACTACGCAAGCTTCTGTCTCGCAAATCAGCCTGCTCCGGTTCCACCTCAGAGGGACACTCACCAGCTGTCAAGACCTGAACTTTCCACGGGTGAGCAGTCAGGGCCCGCTGGTATGCCCGCCAGAGTGCCATGCTTCCTGTCAAGCAAGAGAGGAGGGGGTCATCCCCCCCGCCCCTCCCCACAATTAGAGACGGTAGACTTTCCCCTTGTACTCTCTCCCACTTCCATTTTGTACTAGAGACAGCGGCCTCGTAAGGGATGCTTCCCGGATAGCTCCCCGTCACAGGGGTCGCCTTAGGCAATGCGAGCCCCAGCCCTGAAGTGGGGCCACCTGGGGCCTCCGTCCAGACCGACACACACACGGGGACAGGTTTGCTCTGGTTTTAACTCAGAGCCTGGTCGGTCCGAAGATTCGGACTCTCAATCGGAACCAGCCCTCAACATTCCTGAGTCCAACCCTACGCCGGAAATTGGGTCTGTCACTGCCTGGGTCTGGAATGGCCACATGGGCTGTGGGGGCACGCGACGCGAGGAGCTTCGAGCCCGGGACATCCGAACGCCGGTACTCACCGGGACGCGAGCTCAGACCCCTCCACGTGACTTGAGCGGGCGTAGGGACTTCCTCCCCAAGCTCCGCCCCTTCCGCTCGGGGGCCCGAGGGAAATGCAGAGTGAGTGAGTCACCAGTATCCGTGGAGAGCGGCTCAGCTCGGTCTGTAGGCAACCCCTTTCCCACATGGACTACACCGGGACCTGCTGTGGGCCCCTCCTGCTATACTTCCCACCCGGGTCCGACCTCTGCTTCCTTCTGCCCCTTCTCTCCCCGGTGTCGGGGCTTCTCAACTTGGATAGACCCTCTCTGATTTCCGCGCCCTGGAACTGACCAAGGTGCTGACGCCCTCACTTTCAGAAATCAGTTTGGAAATTATAAGCCGTAGTTAGGTGCTTGCGTGTTATTGTTTTAGTCTCTACGTTCTTCACCAGCCTCAATTGTGAGCTTCTGAATAGGCGGAACAAGGTCTTGTTCATATATGTCATCTTCATAGTAATTAATTCAGTGTTTTGTCTAGAGTAGCCTTTAGAAATGCTGCACAAATATGACCGCTCCATGGAAAGCATTGGGATTACAGAACCTCGATTTCTGGTACCAGTTTCCTCACTACCGGGCTGTGCAGCTTTGGTCATCACTAGACTTGAACTTAAGGTTCCTCATCTGTGAAATGAGGGGCTTGGAATATGTTTTTCAAACCGGGCCCATCAGTTTTAGGGGTTTATATAAGTTTGTGTGGTATCATTCATTACAGGTTCTTCTTTACCTCAACTTAAAAAGAGGTAATACCCTTAAAAATGTTTATACATGTGTATATCTATACACACATATGAATACATATATATAAAATTTCTAGAGCCACTTTAAACAAAAGGACCCACAACGAAATGTTTGAAAATAAACAGATTAAGTGATTTCCTAATCGTTTTCCAACTCTAACATTCTAAACTTTTGAGAATATAGCAAAGTATCACTTCTAGGGTGGTGGAAACTCCTACAAGATCCCTAGCAGTGGGTGTGTCAGGTTGGCAACCTTGAACTGTCCCCAGTGTGCCCACACTTCAGGAGGCATCTGTATCTGACTTTTTCAGGTTCTCTACCTAGCTAGTTCCACCTCAAATTTGCTCAGTTGCTTTATGATTAAGGCGGGGAGAATCCTGTCATAGGTACTGAAGGAACACAGTAAAGAAGCAAAATTTCACAAACATTTAACTAAAGGCTCCTATATGCAAAACGCCATGCTAGAGGAGTGAATTTCTAACAGTAAATGTTAACAGGAGACCAAATGTGGTAGTTTGGATAGCTGTATTCTGAAGTAAGACTGTCTAGGTTCAACTCCCAGCATCATGACTTAGTAAATTATGTGACCTTTTTCAGATTGCTTGACCTCTCAGAATCTTGTCAAGTAAAATGGGCAATACCTACCTCATACAATTAAGTAACATGCAAAGTACTTGAAATAGATCAAGTATTTAATAAACACTTTTTTATCCTTTTTTCCTTCCTTCACTCTTGGGAACATGTGGGAGGCTTTTTATTGGAGAAATCTGGGAAGCCCCTCAGTGAAGATGGAATTTGAGCTGGGACCTTTAAAGAGCAATAGGACTTAAGTGGAGTAGATAGAAAAGGACACTCCTGGAGGAGGGAATAGTGTGAGCAAAGGTACAAAGGAAGAAAAGTACAAAAGGTACAAAGGGATGGAAGACTGGAAATGGAGTGGCCTCGAGAGAAAGGGTTCATTGTAGAGGAGAGCAGGGGCTCAAAGAACCTTATTTCCTTTTGAAGGGCCCATATGAGAGCTGAGACTCAGCAGCAGGGGCAGGGATGCCAGCACCAACCTACAGCCTCAACATCAGGGGTGCCCAGGTTCTGCCTTTCTACCACTGAAAATGGGATTTCATGATGCTGTGTCAAGGGAATGTTGCGTAGAATGAGCAAACCTTCTTTGTAACGGAAGGCAATTCACTCTCACTCACCTCAGCAACACTGGCATAACCTAAGCTGTATCACAATAGGATGGTGCAATACTTGGCTCCTTTGCACTGACGTGGGTGGTAGTCCCTCTGCTGCTAATGGTCTGGGTTGCCTCCAGGTCTTTTTCCTCTTCTGTACAAGGCAATTGAGTTACTTGATTTCTTTCTTAAAGATTTTTTAACATATGATAAAGTCCCTACACTAAAAAAGCAGAAAGCCATGCCCATCAGTCTAGACTGGCACGGGGTTTTATTAAGTACGCACTAATCATTTTCAATAAAGCTGGCTGTGTATTTTTATTTCCTGAGGCCATCTGACAATGTCCCCTCAAACCTCAGACTGTACTGCTATACATTCCAAGACTATGGTTTGCCTATTTCCCATTGCTGGGGTCTGTCCTTGATTAGGAGGCAGTATTGCAGTATCTGAGTCTACAGCATCCCAAAAGGGAACTCTGACAAGATGAGATATAACAGTATACAACCCTACCAGGGTTCTGAACAACTCCTATCAAGAGTTGAAATAAAGTAGCTAACCATGTTTAGTAAGTCAACAGTGTGACAGTATCATGAAGGAGCAAAAATCATGACGTGTGAAAATGGTTAAAGTAACTGAAGACATTTAATCTAGAGAAGAAAAGACTTGGGAAACAGCTATTTTTAAATAAGTAAAAGGGCAATAACAGGGAAGAATGACTAGGTTTCCTAATAACCATGGTAAAATTTATAGAGGTATACTCTTTAACGTGATATAAAGGAAGATTTTTAAAAACCATCTAGGAGTGTTCAAGTAGGGTCAGATGACTAGTGATCAGGAATATTTCATGAGCAGGAGCAAGTAAGACAGAGCCACTGTCCTACTGGCAGGGTGTTTGTGGTATTATTCCTCAGTTAAAGAAGTGTGATAAGCAGCTTAAGTCCAGCAAATTACTATAACCCCCTCCCAGGCCTTTGTGTTGGTTATTCTAAAGAGAAAGTTGGGAAGGCAGTAATATTGGATCCTGGAATACAGCCAGACAGGAGCCTTCATGCAGATACCTTTCCAGTTTTCGAAACACCCACTCACATGTGCCTCAACAACACGCAGTACCTTTACTTAGCTTCACCTACTGCACATGCTCAATATGAGCAATTTGACTCCCAAGCCTAGGTCAGGCCTGAGTGTTTCTTGTGAGCCATAGTTTTAGGATGAGGAACCTTGAGAGTTGGTGGATGGAAAGCCCCCTTTCCCGCAGGGGGCTGTTATGACAGGAGAAGTCTGTGGAAGGAGAGGTATCTAAGGAGTCCTGGGGAGGCAGCTCTACAGGTGCAGCATCACTGTCCAGGAAGGCCCTAGTTCCCACGGTTCTGTGCACGGGAGCCATTTGTTCTTGGCAGACTTCATTCCAAGGGTCCTATGTGGACGCATGACTAGGGACTAGGCAGAAGGTGATGGCTGGTTGGAGAGAAGCCAGGCCCATTAACAGGGGAGGATGGCTGGAACATAGCACTGAAGTGGGCTCGGCTTTCAAGCTGCAGACGGTGACCCAGTGGGGAGGTGAGTCCACGGACAAAATGGATCCGAACCAGCCCTGACTGTCCCCCAGATATCAGCCATCCATAGGAGTCCAGGTTTGGGCTGAAACGTACCTATGAAGAGAAAAGAAAACAGAAAAGCTCACAGATGGTGCTTAGGGTGAGTCCTAGCTGGAAACGGACAAACATGGGCCACAATCTCAAAGGACACGACAAGGTGAGAAAGGTAGGAATAGTAAGACAACGTGTGACATATGTCTATCATGCTCTGGATGATGAGGGTGCCAGCACAGTTTTCCCTAAGCTGTCGCTGTTACTTTCCTTTTTTTTGAGTTTTTTTAATTTTTAATTTTGGTATCATTAAATCTATAATTACATGAGGAACATTATGTTTACTAGACTCCCCCCATCACCAAGTCCCCCTCCCGGGAACACCCCATTACAGTCACTGTCCATCAGCATAGTAAGATGCTACAGAATCATTACTCGACTTCTCTGTGTTGTACAGCCCTCCCTGTGCCTGCTCCCACATTATGTGTGCTAATTGTAATGCCCCTTATTCCCCTTCTCCCTCCCTTCCCACCCCGCGCCCCCAGTCCCTTTCCCTTTGGCAACTGTTAGTCCATTCTTGGGTTCTGAGTCTGCCTCTGTTTTGTTCCTTCAGTTTTTTTCTTTGCTCTTATACTCCACAGATGAGTGAAATCATTTGGTACTTGTCTTTCTCTGCCTGGCTTATTTCACTGAGCATAATACATGCATGCATAGCTCCATGCATGTTGTTGCAAATGGTAGGATCTGTTTTCTTCTTATGGCTGAATAATATTCCATTGTGTATATGTACCATGTCTTCTTTATCCATTCATCTACT